CTCACTTGCTATGTTTTGACCTGTACGTAGTTACGTAATCTTTCAACAAAAATCACCACATTTTTCCGAATTTTGTTTTTGATTGAAAAAAATGTGATCGAATAACATAGTAGTGAAAGCATGAGTGGCTATATAATTGAAGTTGTATATCCCGTTTTTGGCTACCATTTTTCTCGAATTAGTTCAAGATTTAGATGCCTTTGCTGTGAAAATTTTCAGCTAGCAACTATCAGACTCCAATTTAAAAAATTAAGATTTAGAAAAAGCGAAATGACTTGTTCGATACCCAAAAGGCACATAGTTGGAAAGGGGACGTGTTGGTGGAGAATAGTGCATCATTGGCGGGGAAAGCGAGAAAATCTGTCTTCTTGCCATCTTCGAACCTTTATAACGCTCTTTCTAGGTCAATTCTAACAGTACCACATAGTGTATACGGAGGGCCTCGGATTCATTTTGGGGGAATATCTCAGAAACGAGGTTCGGAATCAAGTAAATCTTCCATACTTTCTCTTGGCCTTGAAAAATCCAGCTATCAATGGTACATCTCTGTTCAATTTTTTAATAATGAAAAACCCCGTTCACTCAAGCGTCTGTTCGGGTATTCACGATCAGCTATTTCATGAAAAAAAATCCAAAACTATATTCTTAAAGAAAATCGAAGTAAAATATAAAGTTTTGTAGAGCAGGCAAAATCGTTTCGAGTAGTATATAATTCAATTGAAAATTTGGATTTTCATGCAAAAAATCAGTATTCGAACTAAGCGGCTGTATTTACATATGATGCAGGGCATACAATCCATAAACTAAAAAAAAANNNAAAAAAAAAGATTTTTTCTCCGGAATCCCGAACTTCCAATTAGGTTACTTGTGTACGAGACAATAGGCATTTGCCTGCTCTTGAAAATTTTATGATTAATCGGAAATAAGTAGATAGATATGTATGAAAGGCGGCTTTTTGCAAAATAATTGTGACTAGTTTTTTCCTCTTAAAAAATTAGGATATATAAATATAAATAAACAAAAATATCTGAATAAAAATCGGAACATTTTTAGAAGTCACAGAGCTTGAAACTTTGGCGAGCAATAATTTCCCTTAACTTCTTTGTACCGAAGATAAGTCTAACGCGCTTAACGGCCTTGGATAGTCTCAGGTGCAGCCCAACTCCGATTTCTAAAAAGAACGAATGAAATACCAAAAGTAAAATACAGGTGTCCTGAAGTACGGGTGACCTAGTTTCTGCGTGGCCACCGAGGTGGCGCCTTCTGACCCATTATCCAGTGAAATTCGTGCCTTTACGATGATTCATCAGGGCCTAAAACCAAATGACTGTCAACATAATCGAATTCACCTGGAATTTAGCAAATGCTCGATTGTTCCTATACCTGTTTAAAAAAAGCAATGGGGATGACATGAGCGTTTAGCCAGTCGATGGCTGTTATTATGACGACCCTTGAAACCATTACAATAAATTTCATGGCATCCGGTTTGAGCCATGTAGTCGGTTTTTCTTCAGAAGCGGAGTCATTTGGGAGTCACTCGAATCACAAGTATCTCTCACGACTTTCGGCGGGCCTGCAACAATTCCTATAAGCGCACGTTTTCGCCTTTCCGCCCATCCTCACAATGTGTACTAGAAATGTCATGGACAAAAAATGGTCAGTGGTTTGGGTAATTTATTTGTTTGTTATGTATTGATTATTTAATTATTACTATCAACAATAATCAATTTCATGAGATTGACTGAAACGGCCAATACTATAGCCCGTCGCTACGCTCTGTCGGCGAGGACAAAGCTATGAAGTCAATTAGTAGATGAGGAAGTTAAATATACATAAATCCATACTCTCAAGTTGTTATAATCGCCTTTCCATCCCTGTGGATAATCTCCTGAGCAGTTCCACGGCCGTTCCCAATGGCTCTATACGAACGGCCCCTAGTCTTTCTCTTCCTCTGTCCACTTCCCATAAAGTACAATTTTTAGGTGAAGGCGTTTTTTTT